GCACCTTTTTTAACAACCAAAAAGTGTCTGTTTCGTTGTCTGTTGAGGAAGTACAGACGTTCCTCTCGTTGATAGCAGAGGAGCGGATCCAGCGAGCTTGATGAATGAAAAAGTTTTTCAGGAGTCGCGGCAATAGAGGCGGCGCAACTATAACGACATGTGAATAATCCCGCCCACTCTAAAGCGGTACTGAACTGCAGTGGAAACACAAACCGAGCCGAGCCATACCGTACTCTACCGTACTGAGCCGTACTGTGCCGAGCCGAGTCGTACCACGCAGTGGAAAAGCGCCATTACATACATCATGAACATAGCGTCCATGATGTCATAGTCTTTTATGGTGTTTTTGTGCTCTTTGGACCTTGACAGTGACCATAAACTGCTGCTGCATGTAAAAGAGATTCACAAATATTAAAAAATTGTCATCTTTTTGGCTGAATTATATATCAATATTTACACAGTGTTGTTATAAAACAATGTTTAACAAAAAATATTTGTAATAATCATAAAAATAACCACAATAAATACATATAAATAAAAAAGTATATGATAAAATATTGAAAAAAAAATCTAGAATAATATAGTTAATTTAAATGGTTTGAATAATATACTTACAAAAATAAAAATCAAAATGATATATTGATATCAATGAAATGATAACATTAAAATATAAAAGATCTAAAAATTTAGTTTAAATGGTTTAAAATTAACCTACTAAAACTATAAATTTAAATAATATATTAATTTTAATGATATTATAATATATACAAATAATGCAATATTAAAGTAAAAAATTAAATATAGTTTAAATGGTTCAAGTTATATAGTTAGCTTTAATAGATTGTTACTTACTTTGATGATATAGATTTCAGCTGATATGTGGTGACAGGTGCGTGTGGTACAGTACTGATATGTGGTACAGTATATAGGCTTTTTGCAATGTCTGTGAATGCTGCACAACCAATCAGATTTTAGTGCTGGATCTATCCATTTATAAATAATGCTTCACCTGACTGTCCAAACTGCTGCAGTCTCGCAGGTCTGATTCCTGTTCCTCTTCTGTCAGGGACACAAGAGAGCCTCTCTCTTCTCTGTCCAGCTTTGACGGACAGTTTGGTTCCTGGCTGGCCTCCCCCATGCACTGGTTAAGGCTTTTCCTTCCTTCCTTATCTGCTGCAAGTCCTTCCAGGCTGTAACTGTGAAAATAAGCATATTTGATTATGCTTGAATTTTATTGCGGTTCAGAGTTTCAAAAAAAAAAAAAAGTTGAGATGGTGACCACATGCACACAGAATCGCCAAAGATCTTTTACCTTTTTTTGGGTGACATTCAAGCACACGCAAGATGAAGCTAGACGCAAATTCATTCAGATTTACATGCACAAAGAATCAAATGACAATGAGCAAAAAGTCTACTAGCAAATGATGACAATACAGGCTTGACCTCAGTCTGTGAAAGTTGCCGATGACGATCACAATCCATTGACTCACGCTATACAACCAGCCCTTGACATTTCCTCAAAGCAAAATCATTCAAGCTCTGCCACCGAAATGGTTAGCCATTTTCCACATTGTGCAAACTAAAGCAAAACTTCGTACAGTGGCCTTAACAAGTATTTGGACACTAAAAAAAAGTTTGAATGTCACTGAATTAAGTATCAAATCAAATCGCATATATTTTAAAGAAAATAGCCAAAGACAATCAATTTAATAAAGGTTATTTGTTGGGTTTTAAATGATAAAATCATTATATAGCAAAAAAACAAAAAAAAACTACATAAATTAGGACACTTCCTGGTTTTCCAACATTATTAGTGTGTCAATCACATTATGAACTTAAAGGCAAGTGACTCATACATCCACTTTGAGATCACTAGGTTAAAATTAATTACAAAAATTACTCAGAAAAGTGAAGTTGGTTCTGAAAAAGCATAATTTGTTTGCGGATGCCATCAGTCTCATTGAATGTAATGAAATTCAATTTAAAGTGCAAGTATCCATATACATTTTGGGATGAGTATGTACAAACTACATGCTAAATATATTTTAGAATTATTTAAACTTATTAAAAACCTAAGTGTTGAGAGCAGCTCAACATAAGTGTGATGTGTTCTGAAATTCTTTCTAACAGGAAACACTTGAAAAGGTGACAATGTGGTTATATTTTAAAAAATAATAATAAAAACATCTCACCTCTCATCAGGTTTTGAGATCCAGATCAGTATGTTAGTCATAGTTCATATTAATTATTACCTGCTGTGATACTGTACTTTAGTCTACATCTCTAGCTAAACTAATTCATTTAAGTGGCCGGTTAGTCTCTGACTCAAAAACAAAGAAATCAACGGAAATGACTACAAGAGTGCTTGTGGTCTCACATGTTTGTCCGGAGAGACGAGAAGACTAAACCATAGAGAGGAAGTAGACTACTACACAAACACACAATGCACTATGAACACATATACACCAGTCTTTACAACACACTTTTTGTGCTCCTATAATGCAATTAATGCTGTATCATACCACAACAAGATGTTTAAAGATTTTAGACACTTCCTCTTTGTCTTTCTTTACCTTCTTTCATTTATTTCGTCATTTTCGGAGCGCAGGACAACCGAAGGACACCAGCTCATGCTTCATGAAGTGCATAAGATGCAGGATGAATGGATGGATAGATAGAAGAAGGGATGTATAGAAAGACAAAACAGGAACTTGTTAGTAACAAGGTCTAAAAGAGGCCCTTGACTGTTTAACCGTTACGTATCTTTCTTGTATGCAACACCACACAAGGTTATTAGAGTTAACTAAAAAACTAAAAGTCAAAAACAATAAAATTAAGATGAAAACAGAAAAATATAAAAACTAATTCAAAATATTAATAAAAACTATAATAGTATCTCAAAGGGATTTATGGGATTTGATGGGACCTGTTTTCTGCTCATGCCTTTTGATTTTTTCTCTCCCAGTTTTTACATGGGCTGTTCAGAAAGGATTTGGTGGGGCCCCTGAGTGGAAAAACTGAAAATAGATGGTAGTACCTTCTCCTATGGCCTGCAGACTTGTGTTCCACTTCACCACGTGTCGTACTGGAAAAAGTGATGGATGAAAATAATGATGAGAAGATGAATGACCAGAAATAATGAACCAAAATTAATATGAAGAGCTGATGAGATGATTGACAGCCTTAAGAATGTTCACTAGAATGATTAATGAAACTTGAAGAAAACTGTTTTTGATGATACCAATGACTGATAATTATTCAATATAAATATTTATTCGATAATTATTTTTTTAATAGAATAATTTATTATTATATCCTCATATATTTGGGCTGGTAAGCCTCCACGTGTACACAAGTCAACTCTTCAAAGAACCAAACAAGAAGGGGGTCTCGCTCTTCCAAATTTCCTTTTCTACTATTGGGCAGCTAATATTCAGAAAATATATGCATGGTGTAACTCCCCGGATATTAATTGGTGTATGATAGAAGCTAGCTCCTGCACATCATCCTCGTTACCAGCATTAGTTTTTGATCCCAACTTGCGGTGCCTCTCTAAATACACCACTAACCCGACTGTACTTTCTTCGCTTAAAATCTGGAAACAGTTTCGTCACCACTTTAAATTAAATACTTTATCCATTTATATGCCGATTTGTGGTAATCACCTTTTTACACCTTCGGCTTTGGATTCAACTTTTGCACAGCTCAGGGAGAAGGGGTTGGTATCGTTTCAGGATTTGTTGTCCGATCACACATTTGTGACATTCAATGATTTGCTGAGTAGATTCATCTTTCGAAATCACACATCCATATATCCTCAATTTATGGCCTGTTGCGCTCCTCACAGTTCCCTCATCTTCTAGCACTCAAGGAAACCTGGGAGAGGGAGCTAGGACTGGATCTTGATGGCAAGGGACAAAGAGTTTACATTTAAAAAAGCACAACCATTATTTAAACCATGATGTTCCTTTTTTTGTGTCTTAAGAGTATTAGAGGTCATCTGAGTGTTTATTATCAGCAGGAATACAGTCCTGTGTGACCTAGATACAGCTCTTTCTCACAGAACAGCTGCCTGCTGACAAAGCCCACAGAGGAAAAGACCCTTACACTACTGGGATTTCCCTTCACAAACACAGTCACATACGACTGTAAATGATTCAGAGCTGTACACAAAGCTGAAGTAATGCCAAGATGATGAGACAAAAACCAAAACTGAGCAACTGAAAGCGTAAAATCAAATATAAAATGTATACTATGCATGTATATGATTGCATTATAAAGACAGACGCAATGAATGATTAAAGGGCAAGTGGGTGGTATATTGATAATAATACTTGATCCTATTATCAGATGATTTACAGGAAATGACACATTTATAAGAAAAAAAGTGACGAGACATGTAGGCCAAGTTTGGAAACCCATACTCTAAATTTATCTACTGCTTTTAACCCATCCAAGTGCACGCACACAGCAGTGAGCAGTGAACACACACACACACACACACACACACACACACACACACACACACTGTGGGCATACACCCGAGCAGTGGAAAAACAAACTTTTACCAAATATATTTAGGATTCTTTTTATGTAGTATTTCTCTTATTTATAACATTGTGATATTTAATTTCACATATTAAATAACTGATTAGCCTATTATCTCTGGTAGCTTAGCTTAACGCTAATCAATTAGCATGCTATCTTAGCTCCCATTGCTACAAATGACACTTAAAATGTTATATTTTAGTTATTTAGAAAAAGATAGTGGGACATCTCAATAGCTAAACAATAAGCCTGGTAGCTTAGCATACCTCTAGTCCAGAGCTGTCCAAACTCGGTCCTGGAGGGCCGGTGTCCTGCAGAGTGTGTTTAATTAGGGTTGGAGCTAATCTCTGCAGGACCCCGGCCCTCCAGGACCGAGTTTGGACAGCCCTGCTCTAGTCAATTAACGTTTTTGAACAGTCATTTTGAAGGCTACCTTTCAGTGTTTAAGAGGGTTTAGGATTCTCTCATTTTGCACTACACTGGACTCCCTGCTGAAAAGGAGAGCTAAAACTAGCCTATTCAAGTTGGCTGGTCTTAGCTGGTTTAAGCTGGTCATGGTGGTCTCCAGGTGGTCTAAGGTGGTCTAAGACCAGCCTGCAAACCAGCAAAGATCAGCTAAAACCATCCAACTGTTTCAGTTTTTTGTATACCTTGGATTTAATCCCAAAAACTTTTGTTTTTAGTGGTGGAGATTACCTGCGTTGACTAATCTCCGTCTCCCCCGCTGAATTTTTGCCGGGGCCCCAACTGTGCCTGCGTAAAGGGGACAGGGATCGTATGGAGGTACGTAAAATGGCTGACCGCTCCAGGACCTCTGTCAAGTGGTCCTTTTTCTCTTCCTCCTCTATTTCTCCTGAAACAGGTGAAGCTCCAGGAGATGTGGGCTTTTCCTGACAGGGGTCTGATGTAGGAGCTTCTGTGCTGGCCTGAGAGATGGCGCTAGGGGTCCCGAGGCTGGAGGTGTCGTCTGTGGAGGACGAGTAGGACATGGACACACCGCTGGTGACTGTGACGCTGTCCTCAGCCTTTGATGGAGAAAGTGGAGGAGAATTGGATGAAGTTTGCAAAAACAAAATTATATTTGATGTTTGGTGACAACTAGGAGGACTGGGATTTTGGAACAACTTCCCAACCTGACGGAGCAAAAATTGCACATTATGCCTGGTTAAGACAAAGCACATGTGAAGTCTGCAAAAGACTGCTGATGACGTACCACCTTTACATCTGCAGTTTACATACAGGCAGACTCATTTTTTCTTTCTTTCCGCAAACCCCATGGAGTCTCAGAGTTCTTTCCATCCTTGTAAAGTTTACATAACATAGAAACACACAGCTCTGACATTCATTTCCATTCACAGCGGCTCATTAGTTTTCTCACATGCTGAGACCGCAGCCAAGCAAGGGGTGTGGTGAGCTAGCGGCTACATTACACTAACCGTAATAGATGACTTTATGAGCTACGGAGGGGGAAAAAAGACTTCCAGAACACAAGTCAAGCTCAGGTGAAGTGACTCTACCTGCTTTCGGAGCTAGGAGAAAATGTAAGCATGCTACGGGAAATTCCACGTACAATTCCAGGAGAAAAAGTAAGCTAATCTTAATGCAAGCTTCCTACAAATTTGTATTTTACGAAAAAAAAAAAAAAACAGAACAAAAACAGTGATGACATTTTGTTAAAAGAGGTATTTACAATTTTTTTGCAAAAAAATCATTGTATCTTCAATTTGTGTGCAAACTATTTGGTCAGCCATTTAGCTTTGTATACTGCTAGCTGCTTAGCCTGCTCTCTCAGCATACCACTAGCCAATTAGCCTGCTCTCTCAGAATACAGCTAGCCAATTAGCCTGCTCTCTCAGAATACTACTAGCCAATTAGCCTGCTCTCTCAGCATAATGCTAACTGATTAGCCTACTCTTTTAGCATGACGCTAGCTGATTAGCCTACTTTCTTAGCATGCCACTAGCCAATTAGACTGCTCTCTCAGCATACTGCTAGCCAATTAGCCTACTCTCTCAACATACTGCTAGCTGATTAGCCTGGTAGCTTAACTTAAGCTGCATCCCAAATGATACACTATGCATATATACACTATGTACTCAACCATGTAGTGTATGAATTATATAAGGTTATTTTGTCATTCATAATCGGAGTCTGATAGCCCCTCCCCCTTTGCTACGTAATTAAAGCTGTGAGTGCATGAAGTGTCCAACATTCCACGTTTCGTTTTTTTCAGTTATTTAAGTGCATCATCCGGGTTTTAAAGTGCACTATTTCTTTTTGGAATTTTCGGTGTAAACGCACTACTTGCACTATTAATACTACAAAACATCATGGAATAGTGACTATAAGACTATTCTGCATTTCAAAATAGGATTCTAACGAATGATGGCGGGATCTATGTACCTATCATCAAGGAAACAAAACACTACAGTTCACAAAAAACACTGTCATCCTTTGCGACTTGCTAAGAGCAACACTTGCATGTCAAAGTCTGTGTTAAACAACTTTAAATCAAAGCAAGGGGTTTAAGGGGTGGAGGAATCCACAGGGAAAATTGAGAAATTAGGATGAAGCATGTCTGAGGATGAGGTCATAATTGTGGCCTTGGCCCACTGATCTGCTCACGTCACATGATGTGACTTCAGTGGAGCAAGAAAAAAAAAGCTCCTCCTGTGTAGAGGAGCACCGCTGAAAATGAGACATATTACATAACTGCTTTATCTGGCCGAGGCACAAGCAAGGGGTTCTTCACATGGTAAGGAGACATAGAAACAAAGCAAATAGCAAAAACAAACAGAATTGGATGATATGGGAAACGCAACACAAACCCCGGACGCACCTTATTATTAAAAATGCTGTCCTCGCTCAAATCCTGGCTAAACAGAGAGTCACCATCGCTGGCGGACCCTCGCATGGTGCTCGCTGACTCTTTGTGATGCACGGTCTCGGGTGAGGGGGTCGAAGGGGGGAATTCTGAAAAAAGAATCAGAAAAATATGAAGTCGAAGAGCAACAGAAGAACAACAAATAGAAAAGAAAACACACCAGACTCCAGTGAAATGAATCAATATACAGCGAGTCTGAAAGTGACTAATTTCAGTCCATTTTGTTGCATTTCTGTTCGCAATCATCGCAGACAGGATGTTGATGTCATCTACTTAAATAGAGGATCTTAATTGACTAGAGGAGTCTTTTGTATTGACAGGAAGACATTCATTTAGTCTTTGGAGGATGTGAATGTCGTTTCCCATGCAACACAATGTGGGCACTATTTAGATTGGACACACACAGACACACAGTCTGAGCAAAGAGGGCATCCTTTATTTGTAGTGTGCTGGAAGATGTATAAAAGAGGTTTTGTGTTTTGTTCTGGATGTAACTTTTAACCATCAACTAGACCTATGTGACGCAATGTTGTGTTGTTGACGTCAAATGCCATACATCAGATTCTGTGGTATTTTACTGTAAATTCATGCATCACTTGGAAGAAGCATAGAAACTATGTAGATGCCAAAATGGACATCCTCAAAAACCATTAACATTTGGGTTTCCACTTGATATTCAATGCAAAGTCAGGGTTTTGAAGCCAAACCGGTTTAAAAGCACTGATTTAAGAGTCATGTTGGTTACCTGAAATCACTGAAGTGGATTTCTTCTCCTGGAGTCCAGCATCTTGACTGGCATCAACTGAATAAAATGTCTCCGTCTCTCTGTGGATCTGCAATGACAAAATCAGTCTAGTTTAGAGTTTAATTTAATGTACAAAATAACCATTTCATATACAAATCAGACAATTTTCAATTTGATTGTGTATGTTCTGATCTTAAAATATTTATATCTATCATATAAAAATGCTTGTTATATGTTTAAAACCAAGAAAGAAGAAAACAAATAAATATCAAGGTACAGACTGTCGTCAACAATTCTTATTTTTTTTTATTCTGCATCACTGCAAATAAATGATGCATATATAGCATGTTAGCTATGAACTTATAATACCAAGACAATGATTCCACCATTGTATTACTAAATTGTTTAAAATGTCATTTTCACCACTGTTATTCTATCACAAAATCAAAATAAAACAATTAAATTGGGATGTGGTGGAAATTACATTAGTCGTTTCAGTACAAAAGAACAAAAAAAGAGATAAATACATTTTAAAAAAAGGTCTCTAGAGCCCAGAGCTGGAAAAAAAAAAAAAACATCTGTATTTTCTCAGGTTCTCTCATCTGCTAAAGACTGCTAGAATCCAGCAGGACATACTGATGCATCAGGTGAAAGATGGTTTCCTCTGCTACCTAAACTCAGGACAAGTATGTCAATGGTTTTGTCTTGGATGCCTAAAGCATTTTCCTTCGACCACAGAATTCACTTTCTTGATGAAGAAAGGCTAGGGTTGCCAACTTCAGAAAATTAAAATACGGGACAATCTCCTTAGGTTAATCTCCAAGGTTAAGAATTATGCTATTAGTTACTTAAATATAAAATGTTTTTTCTCGATTTAACAACATTACAATAGTGAAAGACGACTTCCCTTACTGAGCACATCTCTTGCACGGCGGGATGTTGGACTCATGAAAAATAATCACGTAGTTTGTATTCACCAAAACTGATTTACTGAAGTCAAAACACAGACGGAATTGGCGTGAGGTGGGAGCAACGAGCTGGCAGAGGATTCAGCAGCCTTCCTCGAACAGTTATGTTCACGATTTCTGATTTACTTAACGTATACTGCGTGAGGGGGGCTGTGATTGGATGATGACAGGTATCGGTGATCATTCTCAAGTGATCAGCACTGCTGCTGTTGTATCAGTCAGTGGTTAGATCAGCATAGCAGTCAAAAAACGGGACAAGGGAAGTCACATACGGGACAAATCAATTAGGCCCAAAATACGGGACGTCCCGGCTATTAGGGGACGGTTGGCAACCCTAAGAAAGGCACTCATGAACAGAAATATTAGCACTGGTAAGAGCATCTACCTCCTGAGAGTAACATGTGGTTGGAAACCCTCAAGGCTGTGATTTGGGGCAGGAAGGGTTTATGGGGGCATGTGTGGGGTGTTCAGAACAGACCTGGAGAGGAATGTGACCCACATATAAACATCATGGCCCACTAACATTCAACACAGAGCAGCTGTGAATGGGCTGTAGAGGGTTAGCTTAAGGCTACTGCAAGGACGAATTGGTCACCATATACATTTCATTTATCAATCTTAAGGCCTATGCACACCATATTCAGAGAAAACCATATATATAAATACAATAAAATAACAAAATAAAATAATTGTAAAATTTGTGATTTTTATAAATTTAAAATATATATCAAACAAAAAGCTACAACACCAGCTGTAAAGTAGCATAGAAAGATCAAAAGACCATGAAAAAGAAGAATGTCGCTGTGGCGGAAACAGAAGCTTAGAAACCTTCCTGTGCAGCTCATCTGTATGACCATCATCAGCTCCATTCATGACTGATTATACCCAACCACCGCCCATCGTGAGCATGTGACACACGCTGAACTCCCACGCTTAGTTTGTACCCACTGTGTGCATGCACGTGTGTCTGTGTGGCTGCTGGTCATAGGCCTCCTTTGTTTGGTCATTGGTGGACGGACACTGGCCTAGTGTGGCCAGCAAGAGGGGCGTGGGTTTTTTCAATAGAGCCCTCAACAGCTGTGGCCTTTTAACTCACAGAGAGAGAGAGAGGGCTGGAGAGAATGAGAAATAAATACTGAAAAAATGAATAAAATGGGGGAATAGCTGGTTGAATTGGTTCTCTGAGCTGTGATCTTTATGTCAGAGCTGCAGGTTCAAATCCAGCCTTCAACGTGCCCCAACTCCATTTCCTCCATTTCTCAATATTAATTTTAAGACCCTACAAAAAGTAGCAAAAGCCCAAGAAACAAAAAAAATAACCTAAAAATAATAAAAACTAAACAGACAACTAACTGGAAAAGACAGCAACAGATCAAACATACAAACAAACAAACAAATGTAAATAAAAACCAAGTTGACAACTAATTGTAAAGATCAAACTAAAATAAGATGAAACAAAAAATCCCCCCCCAAAAACAAACAAAAACTAAACTAAATTAAAACAAAAAAACATCTAATAAACAAATCAAACATACAAAAAAGCTCAAACAAAACAAAAAAAGGAAAACAAAAAACTAAATAGACAACAAAAATTAAATGAAAACAAAAAACAACAACAAAAACAAATTAAAACAAACAAAAGTCCAAAAAAACTAAACGGACAACTACATGAAAACAAAACAAACAATAAATCGGTTATATACACAATAAATAGGTTGCAATTGTCAGGTGACTTTTTTTGTTTTTTTGCCACTTTTATTTGAGAGGATAGAAAAAGATGAGGGGATGGGATCAGTAAATGACACCAGCTGGATTCAAACACTGGTCATGTGCCAAAGTGCCACCACATGCCATCATGGCATCATGAATAGTGATTCAGGTCTGTAATGTTTCACTGCTGTTCATGACAACATGTCATTCCCAACCACAGTAGGTTCTGACAGGATCCAAACAGCACTGAGAGACTAACACCAGCTGGAACTTAGACATGCATGTTATGTTTACTTATCGCAGAACAGGCATCAACCTCAATCTGACAAAGAAACTCAAACAAAATCAAACAAACACACAGAACACACACTGTCCCCAATCCTTCAATCTCTATTATGAATGATAAACTTGCCTTTGAGTGGGAAAGCAAATGAAAAGCCTCAAGTACAGACAGAGCTCTCAGTTTCAGCCAATTAAACACTAGTTATCAACACTTATGGATGTGTGTATCTGGAAGTATATTACCAAAAGCACAAAAATGCGTTCATGTGAACAGATTTGCAGAGAACCAGAAGGCTAGCTGGGATACTGCTCAGATATTTTGTGTTAGTTTCACGGCTTGGTAATAATGGTAATGGATGTAGCAGACACACACAGAAACACTTCCAACCAGACAGCGTTTAAACCAATTACTGAGTGAGTCGTGAAAATCACTCCACAAGTGTGGCATATTGAGCCAATGTGCAGTAAGGGAAAGATGTAATGCCTCATACTGACCGAATGCTCCACTGAGAGCACTTACATGTAAACATGCCATAGAGAGGAAACAGTCAGCTGTTCTTTGATCATGACTGGTTTGATGAATTTTATGGATACACGTATTAAGGATAACTTACAAAGAAATAAACCAAGCATAAAGGTTTGTCAGGCTAGCTATGTTAACACTTAACAGAGCAACATACCTGATTGATCAATCAATATGGATTTGTTTATAATGATCAATGCTCATCTCAAAAACGAGGTGCTGATATAATGCCAGTATATCAGTATGTCAGACATGATTATTTATTCCATAAGAAAAAAAGTGTCCAATAATATGCGGGTTATAAAGAAAAGGTGATTAGTAGTTGATTGGTCATGTGGTCAATATGTCAGCTACCATAAGGCTACTAATATCACTGGATTTATCTTCTCATGTGACAATTTCACTATTAATACTATTAATGTTTTCAGTTTTAATAAGAAAAAATATACAATGTTAAATTTAAACTTCTTTAAACATAACAAATAAGTAGAAAAGGTGTGCATTATTAATTGACAAGGCAGATCTATACAATACAGATAATCTCATTATAAGGCCACACCAAATATAAATATTTGCTTTAATTAATAATAATATGATATGTGCTATATATGTTGGTGTTTTACATTCTGCTGGCCAAAAATCAGCCTGGTCGATATGTTATTAATTTTATAACTATTGCTGACAGGCAGATTTGAGTTATGTAGGTTTATACATATCGTTCAAAATATATATATTTTTTAAAGAAATGTATATTCAGCAAAGCAGCGTTAAATTGATTATTTGCTTTAATTAATAATAATATGATATGTGCTATATGTTTGTGTTTTACATTCTGCTGGCCAAAAATCAGCCTGGTCGATATGTTATTCATTTTATAACTATTGCTGACAGGCAGATTTGAGTTATGTAGGTTTATACATATCGTTCAAAATATATATATTTTTTAAAGAAATGTATATTCAGCAAAGCAGCGTTAAATTGATCAAAAGTGGCAGTAATTATGTTCAAAATATTTCTATTTCAAATAAATGTTCTTTTGAATTTATATTCATTAAATAATCCTGAATAAGAATTGTTTCTTTTGTAGCACCAACTCAGCATATCAGCATAAATTACATTTCATAATATATTAAAATAGAACAGTTGTTTTCAATTACAATACTACAAAATATTACAGTTTTTACTGTATTTTTAATCAAATTAATGCAGCCTTTGTGAGCATAAAAGACTTCATGAAATCTTACCAACCCCAACTTTTTGAACAGCAGTTTGTTATTCTGAAACTTCACTGTCAACCCACATTCAGAAAACGAGACCCAGCTCTTTTTTGACTGGCATGTGTGTGAAAACACACACAAAAATAAAGCACATAGCATACTATTATAGCACATATATTTATGTTTGGTGTGGCCTACTGAAAAAACATAGACGTTCTTGTGTTAACGCAACTCAAGGCAGCCCAGGACTCTCCACTGGGATTCTGCCTGTAACAAGTGTGCTTTGGATAAAAGCTTCTGTCAAATGACGGGATGCAGCCGGACACAATGGGGATTTGAACAGGTGCTGGGACATAGAGCCTATTGCAGGGGATGATTTATGGCACAA